CTACCAAAACATCATAAGCTAGCTAAATCAAGAGAACTAACCGCTAAGAAGCTTTCCCACTCTTTAACTAAAGGCATTCAGTAATTCACTTCATCCTTGGGCCAAACCATTCCCCAAAATCAAATGCCATTCCGTCCAAAGGTCATGCCAAAATAAGAAATGCTTTTCGGCATTCACATTTTAGCATCTTCCTCATAATGCTATCTTTGCCACAAGCTCATGAAACTCACACACAACCAAAATTTCATAAGCTAGCTAAAGTGAGTATATCAAACAGAAAATGCCAAGAGCTAAGATCTTTCCAACTCTTCAAACTTTTACTTTAGGGCATATACCACACCCTTGGGCCAAAGAATTCTCACAAGAAGAGGTGCGCTTCAATTCTGCCTCATCCTCATGAAATCACTATCAACATGAAGTATGAAACTCACTTCTAATATAGTTCTTGACACATATTTATCTAAATACTTGAAACCCTCATAATGCCCTTTCACAAGATTCACAACAAATGATAAAACATAATCTTGATTCTTGAACAACCCCAAATTCACTCATACATTCCTCTATTTTCCCATTATTAAATTTCAACTCCCAATTCAATAAATTCCCAAATTAAACACAAGCCCACTTTTTTCCTTCCAATTCTAATTCAAATTCATGTTTCTAACTTACCCAATTCCAAATTTCTAAAAACTACACAAACAAGCTAACATAATGAAACCCAAACAAACCCCAAATTAACACAACATTTTCAATCATAATACAACTCAATCAACAAAGAACAACACAACAAACATAATTAAATTAAAATAACGATAAAATCCAGAAATAATTGAATAAAGTACTTACAGAAGCAGAATCTTTACAGATAAAGAGGAGAGAGAAAAATAAAATAAAATTAAAAAAATGAAAAACAAAAAATGGGGAATGAAATTGGGGAAGAAGAGGAGAAAATCCAGCACCGTCTGAAAGTTTCTCTCTCCTGTGGGTAGTTTCTCTCTCTAAAATGGTAATGAAGGAGTTCTTGGGTTTGTCTACTGCACCACTCCTTTTCTTATTATGGCACATTCTATTTAATTTTTTGTCAGTATTTAATTTATTAATTATAACTAAAATTGAAAAGGAAATACTACGAAAATACAGTACAGTATATTGATGGATACGTCATTTCGAAAAAGTGGGGCCCAATGTTAGACCTTGTGTATGTGTTGGTGTTTCTTTTCAGTGTTTCTCTCTCTTCTGGGAAATCTGTGCTTATATTTTGTTTCTCTCTCCTCTCTTTTTCGACCTTTGCGTGTGTAAGTGTGAAACAGTGAAAGAGATTAAAGAAGCGAGCTGGGTTGGGTTTGATGGATTTGCAAACATTTGCCTGGATGTTCACTGTTGACCGTGAAAATGTTGAAAATTTTATGGAGTATTCCGTAACTCAATCCGGCTATGGGCTTGTGAGTTTTGACTAGAGTTGGACGAGAGACGGGCCGGTACAAAATACAAACTATAGACTTAGGGTTTGTTTTGATTTACCAAACTAAACTAAATTGATTAGAGTTTGGTTGAACTAAATTGTTATAAGAGAAGGAAATTAGGAGTTGAGCTGAATTGAAATTCAGTTTATTTCACCTTCAATCAGTTTAGTTTCAGCTCTATTAAGTTCAGTTCAACTCAACCCCAATCAGTTCAATTCAATAAATTGAAACAGGCTCTTAGAGCTAGTTCACCTTATACTAATTCACCTTATATTTGTTTACCTGATCTGATTGTTTGATTTAACCAAACTTTGACCGTATGTGAATAACAATTCATAAGAAAAAATGTATTAAGTTGGGTCTTGTTAAATTGGTAATAATGTGTATTTTATTAAAATTTAATTTTCATAATTTTTTCATTACGAAAATTAAAGATATTTAGCGATAAAAAACGGCACATAAAACGATGATTTAATCTGAATTTATTTAGTCTACAATAAGTTGAACTAAGGGGTTGTTCAGATTTACTAAAAACAACTGAAGTGAACTGATTGGAACTTAATTGATTAGGGTAAAGCTGAAATGAACTGAAATAAATTAACAGCTAAACTGAATTGAAATAAATAAGCAAAAGAATAGAACTGAATTAAACTGGTTATAATTGAACTGAACTTTCAATATATCAACTTTATAGAGTTTTTACTAATGCACAATCAAATAAATTATCAAAGTAGTGCATTGGATACCGTGTTGTAAAATGAAAGTGATAAGTAACGCTTATTAGGAAAAACAGAGGAAGTAATTTCCACCCATCTGTGAAAAATCCTATTTAAAAAATTATTAAAGGGGTTTTTCGACAAAACACAACGTTGGGGGTGAGTCGACACAGGATACAAGTATGACAGATTGACAAAAATCCAATACAACACAACTTGTTTAAGCACAAGGGATGCCAACATGATACAATTTGAAAATTTTAGTAATACTTTGGTAAAAAAAAAATCCAAGAAAATCAAGTATTTTAGACAACACAAGCAAATGAGCTTATTTTCCACAAATTTAAATTTGTTTGCATTCAAAATAAGTTTGAGTAAGTTTTAATTTTATATCCGCTCTAAATTGGATCAACATGTATACTTTGACTTTTTGCATTTTTCTTCTTATATATAAGTTTGATCATATTGTTTTACTAATGTAAAAAAAATTCATACGTTATCCTATAAAATGACATTCAATTAGTATTAGTAGAGTAGTCTTACAAATAAACTGTGCTTATTAATAGAGTAGTTTCATAAAATCAATTGTGCTTATCAAATATTAATAGAGTAGCTTTATTAAATAATAGTTTTATGTGTAAGAAAAGTCTAATTAGCGAGTAAGGGCCTGTTCTCTTACGTTGAAATTCAGTTCAGTTCAGTTCAGTTCAATTCAGTTCAGTTCATCTCAGTTCAGTTCAGCTCCTAATTTCCTTCTCTTATAAAATATTCAGTTCAGTTCAGTTCAGTTCAATTCAGCTCCTAATTTCCTTATCTTATAAAATATTCAGTTTAGTTCAGTTCAGCTGAGTTTAGTCAATGAGAACAGGTCCTAAGTTCAAACTAGTTCAAATATAATAGTCTATTGAAACCGATATCACTTCAGAAATGTTCTATTCACGTACAAGAATTTATTATGTGAATTAAGAATTGTTTATAAAATGTGGCTTAGTGTGGCATGGCTTTCAAGTTTGACTAGTTACTATAATTATTTAAATTTTTTCTTTTTGTAGATATATTTGTGTGCTAAATTATAAGACAAAATGGACATAACTTGAGTGGTTAGATTAGTCAAATGTATTTTGTTAGATTAGTTAAATGAGATTTTGCTAAGATCTTGGAAAATTATACTTGTATAAGAAGACATGGTCTTTGTTTTTAATATATATATTCTAGTTTTGATTAAGATAAGCACTACGTGCATTTAGTTGAATTTTTCTATGAAATTATACAAGCCTACTATATTATCATATTGATTATTGAATAGAGGCATAGTTTTTTCTAACTAGCTCACATACTGTACCATCAACATCTCAATAATTAATTGAGGCCAAAATCACAACATTTGCAAGCCACTTGACCCTTTTTGCACTTTTGAAAACTTAATTACAACTTTTTAAACCATGGGGTCATATGGTTGACCTTTTTCATACAATGTACTATTTTGTAAATTAATTTCGTAGAATGACTAATTGACTAGTAAGCAATTTTTTCAATGTTGCGTTAAACTTTATATGTTTTTACCAATCAAACAATTATACTTTCATTTTAAAATATCTGTTCTTTCATAAATTTGTTTCTAATAAGGTGAAATAATAAAAGAAAAAATTCCTAAAATTTAATTGTTATTTGCTATATAAATAATTGTAAATAATTATTAAAATATCTTTTGTTACTCTGTATATAATCTATTGTAATTGATACATATTATATACTCCAGCTAGAGGTGTTATCACACCCGACCCGATCCAATTCGAAACCGACCTGAAAAATATCCGATTCAGATTGGACTCACGTGGACATTATAATTTAGCATGACTCAACATTAAAAATTATCCCAACCTGACCCGACCCGACCTCATCAAACCCAATCTGATCATCCGAATTGACACCTCTACGACCCTGTTCTTTTGTGCTTCTGAACAGAGCAGAAGATTTCAGCAGAGCAGAGCAAATTGAAGCTCAAAGCAGATTAAGTATTATTTATAAGTAGAGTAGAGTAGAGCAGAGCAGAACATGACTTAATAGAACAGGACAACTATAAAGAACGGGGTCTAACTCAAGTAATGTCCAATAGAATCTTAGCTAATTTAAAATGGTATTTGGAGTTGATAATAATTGTTATTCCTTCTTTATTGTAAGTGACAAGCCAACTCCTTTTGAAGTCACTTTAATTTCCAAATTCTACATCATTCTTCCCCTCAAATGTTGCTTTTTGCTTCTCCTTTAGTTTAAACCAATGGAGCATTGCATCATGGCCTCATGAACTCGCAAATCGCAAAAAAGAACGCGGGAATAATGCTGATCGATCATCTTTACAACCATTCAAATATTCCTTAGCCTACAAAGTGTCAAATTCTATAAGTTGTAAGCTTGAACTTCAATGTAGAGTTTGTAGCTTGTTCAAAAAAAAAATAAATAAATTTATGACTTATAATCTGAGGAGAATAGGGCCTAAGAATATTTAAAACTCAACAGAAAAAAAAAAAAGGTTCAATCATTTGACAATGAAAAAAGTAGAGATGTTTATCGGTTCAAACTAGATGGAGGATGTAAATTTATATTTCAAGACATGAAACTATGCTAGTTATGCAAAAAGTAACAAAATACTCTATGCTTATTCCGTTACAAATAACTTAACCTATTGCACCGAGAAATTAATTAAAACACTAATGCGTCGTAACAGATTGTATTTTACCTTCTATTTTAACACATTTTGATACAAAAATCTTACACAATGTTAACATATCGTTTTTAAATTTATTCAATTCAATTAAATTGTCTTAAAATATATCGATCAACTCATCAAAGTATAACATTGTAAAACCAACAAAAGTTATAACGCGTTCGGACCAATCAAAACCGATTTTTGAACACGTCTACTTATAACAGGGAATCCCCCGTACTCCTAGAATAAAAAAGGAAGAAGTAAAAATTCAAAAAAATTGATTATATTCCCCTAAACGTGTCCTTTTACAGATACCCAAACGGACAACCAAACCAAACCTCTTTTTCCCTACTTTCTCTCTCCTATTTTTTCTGTTGGTTGAACAAACCTCCATAATGCTTCAACTTTCTGTCTAACTCACATTTAAAACCGTCATTCTTCATCTTCCTCCATTTCTTCTCACTCTTTCCCGCATTTTTCCATTTCTAGGGTTTTACTATTTCAATGGCGAATGATCCTGAGAAGCATCATCGAAGCATTTCGATGAGTTCTGGTGATAATTCTGTTGATGTCGTCGATGATTGTCACTTGAATCATAGATTTTCTGACGTTGTTATTGATGGAAATGGCGGAGGTGTTGATGATCATGGTGATGAGAGTAATGGCGGTAGAGTTGCCTCTTCTGAAGAGGTTAGCAGGGGAAGTTCTTCTGGTTCGGGTTCCGGTTCTGGTTCTGGTTCTGGTGTGTTTCTGATTTGGTATAATTGTTGTTTGAATTTGTTATGGTTATTATGTTTGTGATGCTAATTCATTGAGTTTAGAAAAATTGGTGCATTAAAAATTTGCAACTCATTGTTTGAATTCTGGTTGTAATTTGGCTTGGTTGTTTGATACTTTGATGGTCATTTTTTGGGAATTGGGTTGAGTTTAGGAGATTTGGTTGTCTTAGCTAGATAAACATGTGATGACAAAAGTTAGAATAAGATCAAGACCAATTCTAAAGTGGACTAATTGGCCATAAATATAAATCTTAAAATTGTGTGGCATATCTGTTGCTTAGAATTTAGTATTATATATAGGGCAGTTAATTTAATGTTTTTGGTCAATGTGCTTAAATAACAATGTTGGAGGGGAGGTGAGGCCGCAAGGGGAAGGATAAGGAAATAAAATTTGTTATATACAACCGGGTGTACCGTACACCCAACTAACCTAAGGTTAGTTTTTGCTCTTTATTTGATTTGATGATAAAATGAAAAAGAAATATAATCATTAAAATGAGAACAAATACTCATGGGTGTACCGTACATCCGGGTGTATATAATAACCTCTCGGCATAAGGTAAAGGAAAAGGAAAAGGGAGTAAAATAGAGAAGTAGTTTTGCATTTTCCTCCAAATATTTTAACTTGGGAGAATTTTTTCACAGAAAGGAAATATATTATAGTTGTCCCGTTTGTTACTTTTCGCAAATTCATACCAAGACAACAATAAATGGATCCATCATTTTCCCATCCCCTTCCTTTTTCCATCAAATCTTATCATTCAAGTGCTGTGTAAAATTGTGAATGTAGTTTTGCATTTTCCTTTAAATCTTTTAACTTTGGGAGAATGTTTCACAATCAGTCATGCGCAGTGTACTCACATACACATTGTTTGGACCATGTAATCGTGTGCTCTAGATAACATTTCACAGCATACTCATGCTCTTATCATGTGCTGTGAGTTACCTCTGTAATTAATGGGCTCTAGGGTGTAAAAATATAAGTATAGGCGCACACTCACAGATTCACTACATTGTCTATGGCCTGATTACTTATAAGAAGGGTGTAAATGTTTCTAAAAAGGTCCAGGATCAATGTATAAGATGGTTATAGTTATATGGAGTTTGAGCACAGCCATTGTGAATGCAGACTTATCATGAATTCACCTAGTTTTGCATTAAGGCTTCAAGGCCATTTTTGTAAGAGTTTCAAAATTTCCATGTTGGTTTAAATTATATTTCTAAGTATATACGTGTGTTTTTTTTTTTTTTGAAGGGGTCACTAGTGGGAGTTGCTCTAATGGAAACAATAGTTTTCGGGAATCTTCAACTTCTAATCATCTTGTGAAATCTGGAGAGTCCAAGCGACATAATCCACTCAGTAAATTAGCTGCAAAACTTTTTGATGAAACAGTACCCCTGAAGAAGAAGGTTAGTTTTTTTTTTCCTCCATGTGTATATCATTTTACATTGTCTTTTTTGCCTGTTATTGGTGGCTATGTGTAATATTTTATAGTAATAGGTGCATTTTCCCTGTTTCATATCTCATTCCTTTCTCTTGAAATCCTAAGGTGCTTGTTTCTTGACATTTGAAAGTGTTGGTCTTTACTTTTTAGCTTCCCATAAAGCAATTTTATTCTCAAATTTTATTACTACTCATAAGGTCATAATCTATCTGCTTTATAAGATCTACGTGCTGTCATGGGCTCTTCTTCATTAGCCCTCTAATCCTCATGTTTTTCTTTTTAATCTTTAAATGAGCAGTATGAGCAGAGAGTCATGAAAACATCAATGAAAATGTATTCTCAATGTCAACCATTATTTGCTTGTATTAATTTTCACTTAAATCTCTTTAGCCCCATTGTCCTCAAATTAGATTTTTTTGGCTTTCAATTGAGCATGCTTTTAATTTTCAGCTCAAGTGGCTGAACCGGCTTGCAACTGTTAAAAACGACGGAACTGTACAATTTGAGGTACCCGGAGATATTAAAACATCAAACCTTGATTTGGGAACTGGTGTGGCTTCTAGTGCAAGCGCAGAAGAGGATCAAATGGAATCACCGGAAATTTATGATTTGCCACCTAAGCAAATTGTGATGCTAATTGTTGGAACCAGAGGAGACGTGCAACCCTTTGTTGCCATTGGGAAGCGTTTGCAGGTATGATTTACATTTTATATATATGCTTTCATTTGCAGGCAAATATTATTTTTGTTTTTATTTGCTTTGAAATAAAGAGTGTCTGACCTATACAGGACTGAGTTATAAGGCTATTTTAAATTTTATGCTTTTTAAACAAACTGTGTTGTATATGTGATAGATTGAGGGCTTGGTTTTTGTGACTACGTACATGGGTGGGTAGTACGGTAAGTCGGTAACACCATGTTGGTGTCTTTTTTAGCATACTGGTTCATCACGTTACTTTAAAAATATTAGAGTTGCTTTTGAGTTTTTTTTTTCTCTCCCTGTAACTTCTCTTGGAAATTTAAAGCCACATTTATATCTTGGTTCTGGTCGGTATATTATGCAGCTGCACTTCTTCTTGGTGCCTGTGCAGTTCCACATAGAGAGGTTTAAGATGCACTTGCCCCAAGCATATTTGTGTAAGCAAGGTTATGAAGACTTCCATATTTTTTTCTTTCCTGACTTTGAAAGTCGCTAAGTCTTGTTTTATTTTTATGCTGACTCTGGAATGATTTTTTTATTTATTTTTAGAGCCTGATTATCAGTATCTTAAGAACCTATATGCCTGGCCTTATTACATATTTCTTAGAAGTTTTTTGAAATCTGTTGGAACTTTTATATTCCTTTCATGTACTTTTGCATGCTGCTTTCTATTTGTCCATGATGCACACTTAGGGTTTAAAACAATGTCCAGGATATGTATAATGATCCAATTTTATCGCACAATATGATTTTGATGAAAAAATCTGGTCTCTTAAGCATTATATGGAGTATTTTGTTTTAACACTGTGGCCCTGTTTGGGAGAAAGCTGAAAGTTGAAAGCTGAAGCTGATTGAGTTAGCTGATTTTATTAACTGATTTGACTAACTTATTGTATTAACTGATTTATATAAAAGTGTTTGGTAAATAGCTGATAGCTTAAAGGTGATTGAGTATGTGAAATGACCAATAAGCTAATTGTGGGGTAGGTAGTTTAGATAAGATTTTAAATTAAATGAGGTTATAAGTGTCATTTCACAATAATTAATGAATAAGCTAATTGAAAAAGCTCCTAAAATGAGCTTTTTCAAAAAGAGCTTATTTAGTGGAATAAACTCTTTCAATAAGCCTACTACCAAACACTTGTATTAGCTTGTTTGACTAATCAATCAGCTAAAGTTAGTCAAATAAGCTAATATACCCCCAATAAGCTTACTACCAAACAGGGCCTATAAGTTAACTTACCAGCTTCTTCAGGCTTATAGCCACTGGACCATTGACTTTTCATTAGTGACGTTTTCTATTTTGCCTTTTCCTTTCTTGCTATTTTTCTCTATTTTGGCGTCTACTCCTTCTTTTGTTTATGATTGTGCATTCCGTTTTAAGGCTCCCATGTAATTTTTACTTGATATTATTAATTTACTGCTAGATTCTATTTGGCTGTTTAATATTGCCTATTCATTTTGTGTTTTTATTCAGGAATATGGCCACAGGGTCAGATTAGCAACTCACCGGAACTTCAAAGATTTTGTCTTGGCTTCTGGCTTGGAGTTCTATCCTTTAGGAGGAGACCCTAAAGTTCTTGCTGGATGTAAGTTTCCTGAAAGATTGCTCTGAGACTTCGTTAATGGGTTCTCGTGTAGTTAGATGTTAAAGTTAGCAGAAGTTTTGAAGAATCATGCTTTCATTTATCACTTCTAATCTGTATGTCTGAAAGTTGTACTTCTTTACACTGAAGTTTTGAACAGGATTGTTTATAAACTTATAGGGATTGTATTTCTTATACCACTGCCATTTTGCGCTGACAAATTGACAATGATAACTATTTTGTACTTTGCGGTTTTGAAAAAATCTCAACCTGGATTTGTTAAACATGGTACACAATCAGTTGCTTCATCAATAAGTGGATAGTATTTTTTAAAAAAAATATTTATTGTGAAGTTGTTTGATTTGATAATTTATGATGTTAGTGCTTGTCAAGAAAAATTGGTGAAAAGATTCAGTGTTAGTAAATTATTTCAGCTCAGATTGCAGAATACTATTTTACTGATGGACTCATTGACATGGGCTGTACTTATTGTTAGTTGTAACTTGAGCTAGCAAGTCAGTCAATTCTCTTCACAATAAAGGCTGCATATATTCCCCAATTTCCACCAGTAATCATGAACTGAAATATGGAATGATACTGTGAATGTGGTATATTTGGCCTAATATAATAAAACTAAACTGCAAATTGCTTACCTGTACCTAATTTTAGAATGGTGAATTTTGTGACATTGTTACAGGAGGTTACATTTGTCTGACCTCCATGCCCCTGCTTTAGATGGGAGCCTTGCTATACTGTTATAGGCACTGAATTGCAGTTTGCCTGCTTGATTCCTTATTTTATTCATTTATATGGGGAGTTGGGGAAGAGATGGGTTGTTTTAATCTTGTATCTGCCAATAAATTTATATTTAGATTGTTATTTACCCATACATTCTTTAGTACTACCTCCGTTTCACATTATGCGCAACAATTGAATTTTTTAAATTGCACAAAAAATACCCAATTGCTGCACATAATATGAAATGGAGGTAGTTACTAACTTTAAGTAGGTTATCTTGGAATTGACTCATTATCCTTCAGTGCGTGTCTTTGACTGATTGGACTGTAGTGCAAAATTGTTCGGATGCTATCCACTTTTCCTTTTCTTGCTTTACTTTCTTTCTTTAAATGCGTTTTTATTAACAATAAATTTGTAGCATTTATGCAGACATGGTGAAAAACAAGGGTTTCTTGCCTTCAGAACCTTCAGAGATACCTATTCAGAGGAATCAGATGAGAGATATTATATTCTCTTTGTTACCTGCTTGCAAGGAACCTGATCCTATATCTCATGTTCCATTTACTGTTGATGCAATAATTGCGAATCCTCCAGCATATGGTTAGAAAATATTTCTTTTTTCTCCTTTGAAACTGTTGGCTGATTTGGCTAATACTTGAATGGCTGGACCGTTTTCTGGGAAGAGCTGTATCCTTAATTTGTTAAACAATAGTATGTACCTGCTCTCATTTTTCACTCTCTGTTTGTGTTTTTTTAGGCTTAACAAGAAGAAATATAATCTTTCTCGCATGGAATTAGCGATAGGCAGGGTCTTGAGTGATCAATGAGTATTTATCCTTATCCCTCGCCAGGTTACTTTGCTAGAAATCTGTTTCTGATTAATACTTTTTGATAAAGGATAGCTTTATTGGAATAGCTTGTAGCTCGACTCTCTAATTATGGGCAGTGATTGCTAGTGATTGGAGTAACTTGGGTAGCTGGGTTAGAATTGTAATTGCCACCCCAATCTTTGGTTATGATACGGTCTTAGTATAAAATAATGTTGGAACATTTGAAGTCAAAGCTGAAGGTGAAAGCTGGGGCCAACTTTTTGAAACCGCGTCAAATTTACATTGACTTTTATGAAGACTACCCATGGTTGAATACACCTCCAAAAGGTCTTGAGCTTGCCTCTTAGTCACCACCAAATTCTCCATGTCTAGTTGCGGCAGGTAGTTTGATACTTGCTATCTATAATGGTGTTATATCCTATTTTGAGTACAATCCAAATATTTCTGGATCTGCCTTGGAGTTATAACAGAATCTTTAAAGTTTACAAATTTGAAGTGAGATAGTGCCCATGCAATCTGGTGGGTTCATGTTTTTATAGGGGAAGACAAGGAACAATTCTTTGTTTGATGTTAATGTTGCTTCCCTTAAGAGAGGAGTCAGAGTGCTTGCATATCAAGTAATTTAGTAAGGATGCTCTGTTTCTGTGCCAGTTTCAAGCATTATTTTTAGTTTAGAAGGTTATCTTATGTAGAGGCTTTTGATTTTACTGCAGATTAAGTTAAGGTAAGCAATAGTTTTGCTCATTATTTTACCATACGATTTATCTTAGACCTAGTAAAAGCCTTATAATTAACTGAAAACATAATTCAGTTAAGTTCAGGTTTTATTTTGTATATTGAGGGAAAGGAGCAGAGAAATACAAAGCAGCAGTACTTCTAATTGTATGTGTAGATCAGTGTATTGTTTTATTTTTTTTATTACATATATATATATATATATATATATATATATATATATATATATATATATATATATATATATATATATATATATATATATATGTTTAAGTGTTATAATTTGAAGTTATTTGCAGATAATACTGTTTCAAACATCTTTTGCTTTGCTCAAGATTGGTCCTCATTCTTAAGTTTTGTTTCAGGACATACACATGTTGCCGAGGCACTGAAAGTACCAATTCACATATTCTTTACAATGCCTTGGACGTAAGTAACCTTTATGCTGGTTTTAATTAACATGCAGCAGCTAAAATCTTGTCAGTTACTCCACTATATTTATAAGTTAATGTATCTGGCTTTTATGTTGCCCATTGCCCTGAAGTGACTCATTTTGATTTTTTAAAATTTTGTTTCCACTATCTCAATGACCAAAAGATCATACAGACAGCTCATAAGTTTTGTTTGCTTTATCTGTGACCTGATATATTATGATAGATCTCTAATTTCATAGGAATTTTGAGTACAATTGTTGTTATAGACTTTAATCTTTAAAATTGGATAAAGTACCTTTACCATGATAGGTGTGATATTGCTCTTGTGTCCTGATTTTGGATGCATGAATGGGACTTCTGTACCAAAACTCAAAAATGTCAAATTAAGGGTGCTTGGTGGCTCATTTGTTGCAGGCCCACTAGTGAGTTTCCACATCCCCTGTCACGGGTTAAGCAATCGGTTGCGTATAGAGTAAGTTACGCTTTCCTCAACACTCTGTAATGCCAGTTGTTAATAGAAATACTCTGTGTATATGGTTGTCCATTCATCTAAATGTCAGCATATGCTTGCAGCTCTCTTACCAAGTTGTTGATGCATTGATTTGGCTTGGAATACGGGACATGATAAATGAATTCAGGAAGAAAAAGCTGAAATTGAGACCTGTAACATACTTAAAACCTTCATATAGTGCTCCTCCTGATACCCCCTATGGATATATTTGGAGCCCTCACCTTGTTCCCAAACCTAAAGGTAAGTGATTTATGTTTCCAGTACTCCAAAATTTTTATTCTGGATTCATTGGTTGTGCCCTTAAAAAATGATTTTTTTTTTTGTTTTGGTTTGATTGCTACATTTTAAAAATTGGTTTTATGGTCTGTTACAAAGATATGTTAATCAATACTCTATCCATCCATAATTTCTTTTCACATTTAGGTTCGGCAAATAGAGTAGTCAATGTTTAAAAAGGCTTGAAGGGGAACTGAGGTAATTGAAATCCTTCTGCGCCTCTTTGAAATCGCCTCACCTAGGCCAGTGAAAGCACTTGACCTGTATTACCTTGTGTCTCAAGAATCTCAATTACAGGATACATTTACCTTGTGTCTCAAGACTCTCAATTACAGGATACATTTGCTGTTGCCTTTTGTTTTATTTAGTTATTTACTTTTAATATACCGAGTAGTAATTATAAGATTAGTAAATTAAGTAGAACAAAGAAAATTTGAAAGCAAAATGCAGAGTACAAGATTTGGAAGTGAATTGAGAGAGACAAGGTTGATATGACAGAGAGAAGAGTCAGAAATATTTTTTAAGTGGTTTTCTAACTTGTACTCTTATGGATGTGAAGGAATTTTTGGGACTACCCCAATCAAGTGGAAAAAAAAAAAAAAATTAAGGGAGAGGGAGTATAGTACATTTGCTTTCTTTTTGATATGCTATTCCTTTTATTGTATTAACTAATCCAGTGGGAGAGTTTCTTCACCAAGTTTGGTGTTATGGGTTTGTGTCTCATCTTCTTTTTTGAAACTAATTTCTTTTTTGAAACACAGGAAACTAATTTCTTGGTCAGTTGCTCGGTTCCTGGAGAAATAAATATGTTGCCTCGTCCCTTTTTTTTTTTTTTCCTATTTGAAAACTGGTTGTTTCCATTTATTATGTGCATTTCCTTCCATTAGCTGACAACTATATGCACTGTTACCTAATTTAATTTGTGGCCTTTTCCCCATTCTTCTTCTACTGGATGTATTCTTTTATTCAGGCGTCTCCCTTACATTAACTGATGACTCTTTTTACTGTTACCTATTTAAGTATTTATTAATTATTGGCAAAATCTGGACCTACAGGAGAATGATGTATGCACTTGAATTCTGACTTGCCTTTTTTTTTTTTTTTTACACAAATGTATGTCTGAATTTTCTACCGGCATGTATCTTCATATTTATCTATGGGGTCCTATTGAACACTCCTTCGTGAGAGTTCTGTCTAATGTGTAATAGGTAATGTTATATTAGGGCAATTTTCTTACACCTTTATTGTTTGTAATGTTTATGCCTTGTCATCTTGCAGATTGGGGACCCAAAATTGACGTAGTTGGTTTCTGTTTCCTTGACCTGGCTTCTAATTACAAACCTCCAGAAGATCTTGTTGAATGGCTTGAAAAGGGTCAAAAGCCAATATATATTGGATTTGGAAGCCTAGTAAGTATCCTCTTTTGCATCAATACAGGGGAATGTGCTGGATGTTTCTATTTAATTTTTTATGGATTCTGTTGAATGCTTGAACCACAGTGTTCGGGTAATTAGTAATAAAGTGTTTTAAATGTCTGTAGGTTGAATTGCAGAATATGATTTGTAAATATTTTACGGGTCAAATCTCCTTTTTAAATATGGGTCAATGCTAAATTAGCTTCTTTGTTGTAGAGGTCACAAAAAATAGTTTTCAGAGACTCAGAGGCATTGGGGTCTCAATCAATCAAAGCCTTAATCCCACAAGTGAGGTCGGCTATATGAACCAAAAGTGATTATTCTATATAGTCATTCACAAAAATCTTCCTCCTCCATCCTTTACGATAAAATACCTCATTCTCATGCAAATCCATCATTTGATGTGACAATGTTCTGTTTGAGATGATAGTTCAGATTTTGTACCTGTGAAAATCTGAATGCGTAGTTTGAGCTCTTTTGAACTGTCTTTTAATTAATCTTGACTATTTGGAATAACGTGGACTGATATGTACGTTGTCTTAACTATGACAGCCTGTCCAAGAACCTGAGAAGATGACTAATATCATTGTACGAGCTCTGGAACTCACTGGACAAAGAGGAATCATCAATAAAGGCTGGGGTGGTCTTGGCAATTGTAAGCTGCTCATGTTATTTCAGTCTTGACTTTTTTTCTTCTAAATATTGTTATTCCCCCTTCTTTCTATTTCAATCTTTTGAGATGTCATGGTGTACTGTTTAGACCTTAGACTTCCCCTTAACAAATCTGTATACAGTGAAAGAAGAATGTCTTATCTTTAGGGTTGAGGAAATGTTTCTCCCAGATAATGAGGTTCATCTTTATAAACTGTACATATGTGGCAGTATTGGAATTTTTTTGTTCCAGTATTCCCTTTATTTGGTTAGATCAAGTGTCCAATCTCACAATTATTTATGTCTTGACCTTTTGAAATGAAGCAGCTTACGGAGTGTTTTGTTTGTGTTTTTTTTTTGTTTTTTTTTTTTGGGGGTGATGTACATATAATTTTTAATTTGCTTAAATTTTAAACCCTAGAGGGGAAAAATCGGACAATAGAGAAATACTAATGAAGGATTGATATTTTGGCTGCCTTTTGATTGTTCTCTGACTAATACCTGCTTTCCAGTGGCAGAACCAAAGGATTTTGTATACCTGTTGGATAACGTTCCTCATGATTGGCTATTTTTGCAATGTGCTGCTGTGGTAAGATTATTCTTGTTATGGATTTTTCAAATACGTGATTGATTATATATATATACACTTCGTATCTAGATTCCAGTGTCACCACATGAGCTCAATTTGGCCTTTTAATGAATTGGAGTTTTACCTTTTTAACTCTCTTTGCTAAAATCATGAGCTGTCATTTTTAGTATTCTGCAGATTATGTTCCTGTCTAACTTAGATTTTTTTTTTCTCACAAATGGAGGTGCATCATGGTGGTGCTGGGACAACTGCTGCTGGTCTTAAAGCTGCGGTAACTGCTCTCATGTTAATCAGCCCTTTTTATTTATTTAAAAAACCCTTTTTCAGTGTCTAACACAAAGATGAATCTTTTCAGTGTCCAACAGCAATCGTGCCATTCTTTGGTGACCAACCCTTTTGGGGAGAACAAGTGCATGCGAAGGGTGTAGGGCCACCACCTGTCCCAATCGAGGAGTTCTCGCTTGAGAAATTGGTTTCTGCAATACGCTTCATGCAGGATCCCATGGTAAATGACTAGCCTCTTTTGTGGATCAAGTTTTTATCTGCTGTCTGTTTTGTCAGAGGATACAAGAGGTTGGGGGATTGCCGATTGTGGATCAAAATGATTTTTGCCTTTGAAGTAAGTAGGAAATCAAAGCAAAGGCTGTTTACTATGCCGATGGTGGACCAAAATGATTCTTTCTTTCATGTTTGAATGCTTTTGAAGTACGTATGAAATCAAAACAAAGGTTATTCCCAAGTAAAGGCAATGGTTTCTAAATTATAAATTGTTTGTCATTAATGACAATATCAAGTAGCCCGTCGGTACATTTTTATTGTACCAACATGAGGTCTATTGGTGTAGATTACATGTTAGTACAATGCTTGGGCACTGGTTATTTGCATGAATGACAAGAGCCAAGCTTTCTCATTTTAAGGCCATTTGCAATACTTTTTGAACTTGCCATCTGCAGCCATCTTTTAATGTGCCTGCAGCCATCTTTTGATGTGCCTGCAGCCGTCTTTTAATGTGCCTAACTTGCTGATCTTTCCTAAGTTGTGAAAAAATATGTTACTATATCGCTGACAGCCTGACATGTTTTAAAATTTTGAAGTTTCAAATACTTGTTGCAATATGGGTTGCCGGCTGCCTGGCTTATTGCAATTGTGAAATTGATTGTTGTGTTGTTTCTTTATGAATTGTAGGTTAAACAACGTGCTGTGGAGCTGGCAAAGGCAATGGAAAATGAAGATGGGGTTGCTGGTGCGGTGAATGCCTTTCACAAGCATTTTCCCCGTGATCTCCCTGAGCCGGATCATTCAGAACTTCAAAAGCGACATAAATCACATTTATCGATAAGAGGGTGTTTTTTGGGCCAACATTAGGCTTCATGTCCATTTATGCCAGATCGTCTTTTGAGCCATCTATATCTAGGCATGATAACACCTTATTGACTTGACTAACCACCCACCTCACCTGGTCACTGTAATCTTTTTCAACTCAAGAAGCAGTTTTGTTAATACGTTGTTTTTGCAGCAATCAGATCATTGTATTTATGTAACAGCCTGTTGTTTATGCGGCTGTATGACGATTGTGTTTTAATATGTAATTTTTGCTCCAGTAATATCAAAATATTATTATGATCTAATTATTCGTGTGTGTTTTTCTAAATTGTTAAGATTTGTAATGATTGTTGACTTGTGACGATCCCCTTTGGATTGCAGTTAAAGGGCAAGTACTTGTTTGCAAATCTCGTGGGGAAGAATTCAGGAAATCTATCATGAAATTTTAAAATTTGATGACATATACTCCATAATGCCTAATTGGAGCCATAGCACCACAAAATAGTACAGTTGCAGCAAAATTGCTCAGACATACAACGTGACAGTCAACAATTTACACACTGGAATTACAAGAAAAAAGTTTCCCATTTTATATATAGAATCATGTGTACATTTGCACAGACAAGATATACATACTAAAATTTCCTGAAATTTTCTATTGTAAATTCTCATATCTTCACAGAATGGAAAAAAGAAGGCCATAATTTACAGCATAATTGGCCAACAGTGCCAATAATGTGCTTTATATAAGGAGAGTGCTGTTCGCACCGTAAATCTAGTAACTAAAGTAGAATAAGAATGTAACTCGTATGATTCTTTTTTTGATGCTGATGCAGTTAAAAGTGAAGCTTCCCTTTCCCTTTTTATGGATAATTGTTCTAGTTCGGTTCCATCCCGAACAAGCAAAACATCATTTTCCAATTTGATATTTTCATATAGCAGCTTCAGTAATACTTGCAGGAGAAGCAGTCTCCACAACAGGGATTGTGGGTGGAGCAGGATATCTTGTTCTTTGCCTCACCCTCATCACAAGACCATTTGTTGTGTGGATGGTTGCGCCTGTGGTCATCTTCACCTGCAAACATATTGATAGATAAATTACTAGAATCAAGTATCCATTTATTTTTCACATCAAAGTGAATCTGGTTCTTCATCGTTTTTCACATCAACTGTTTAAGAGCAAACCCTTGTTTTCACATGAGGGTCCAATTAATGCATTTTGCACACAAGTCTCATGTAATTCAAAAGTTTTTACCAGGTAATAAAGTCCCATGTATCTAAATCTAAAGTGAAAAAATATAGCAAAAGTCTTACAGGAGGAGCATCAGGTGCCAGCTCAAAGTCAAATCGTCGAACAAGCATAGCTAATGCTACTATGTTCTGTGCAACAAACAGTGAATTACAAGTCAAAGTTCATCCAAGCCGAGAGAAATCGAGAATAAATTGAATTAAGGCTGCCTTGGAATTTGTAAGCAGATGTTTGTTACCTCGTAAGAAGCAAACATATCCCCTATACACTTTCGTGGACCTCCACCAAATGGCAAGTATCTTAAAACGAAAAATAAAAATGAAAATGGTGAATCACCAGCTTGAATGAGCACAAGCTTCAATGGCATAGCTACATACTTGAGGCCAGTTAAGTTACAGAGCAGATACCTGAAATTTTGGTTAGTCTCATTTGGTGCTGGTCCATCCAGTGGCCACCTTTCAGGATTGAATTTATCTGCATCCTCCCAAAGACTTGGGCTACGATGCAAGTTCCATACGGATATGAATATATCCTCATCTCTGCCAAGAATTTTTTTATAATTTTTTGAATAGAATCACCCAGGGAAGGTAGCTTACAAACTTAAAGAAATAAATGTGGACAAAATTCCAAAAGGATTCTATGCATTAAAGATATTAGATACAAATTACCTTTAACAAGTCAAAGTACAAAAGATGAACAAATGGAAATGTGGTACATATGCTTAGATCAGAAAACAGTTTATTTGATACTTCAGCAAGCTGCACATGAATGCATTTGCTTCTACTTCCAAGTGGGACTAATGAATAGTCAAGCGAGAACTCTCCTTTGTGATTCAGGAGAAATTTGTTCCATTTTTACTGATGAATTTATTTTGTATCAACTGCCAACATTAACATTCATCATTTACCTCTTACTAGTTTACAGAAAAATCCAGGAGGAAAAAAAAAGGTAATGTCATTAGTGCAGAAAACCTTCCTTTCCCTTTTAGTTGAACAAGGCATGGAGAGACAGTTTGATGCAACATACAGGAATCCAAGCACGACAGAATACGTTTACAATGGATTTCACTGATAATACTTCATCCATTTCATAATGGAATCAAATGCTTAGCACACAATTAAAGAAAATTGGGAGAGAAGGTGAGAGCCTGAGACGGACATATGGCCAAAACATCTCACCACCCCACACCTCCGATATTCCTGCCAAGCCGCTATTACCATCACCATCTTCCATGAAAACCCTCCTCCATCACCTCACTATGCCACCATCATCGATTGTACCATAACATCTCCACCGTCAACCTCTCATTAGTACCATGTGGTGTTAGGGAAGGGGGGGTGTTATTAGGAAGGGTTTGGGTTCAGTTAGATTTAGAGTGGATAATTATAAAAAATCAAGTTGGTTAAATACGGGTGAGCATGTAATTTTGTAGTTAAAAACTTTCCATGTAGTATGTTGCTAATATTGTGAATTGAAAAAAAGAAATGAAAGTGGAGCACTGAAACAAAATATAACGTTAAAACTTACTTTCTGATTGGGTATGGTCCAAGCATGTCCTCTTTCATAGAACGACGAATTAAGACAGGTGGTTGCGGGTAAAGCCTCAAAGACTGCAAAAGGAAATATACAACAAAATGTAAGGTCAAAGAGTTCAAGCACAAGTAAAAAGCAAAGAGAAGTACTCTTACTTCGCTTATCACACGACTTGTGTATTTCAGGTTCTTCAAGTCTTCAATTGATGGAAATCTATCTCCCAAAACTGTATCCACCTAAGCAAGGTGCAAGTTCAGATGACAATAAGTAGTTGCAACACTTCAACGGAATGTTCTCTCGTTCTCTCTTTCTCTCTTCCCCTCCCTCCCTCTAATGACCAAACATCACTAAACCCCCCTAAAGCACGATTCAGGATACCTCATTTTGAAGCTTTGACATTACTCCTGGGTCCTGCAGGGAGCAAATGAAGTATCGTCATATTCAGATATCTTGCAGATCATACACATCAAGCACCAAAAAAAGTGTACACAATAGCTAGTGGCAACTGGCAATGACATTCAGTTACAGAGTTGCTGCAGATATTAGTCATATTACATAGTTCACAAACTCCAAAATCATGTTTTACCTAATAAATTGGGACCACTGGCAGAAAATTATAAACAGAAGCATGTTTGCAACGGGGGGTGGGGTGAGTACCAGAAAAACAAACCAAATGAACTTCACATAGTGGTAAGTAAATTATGTGATAAACTGTAAACCTGAGACAGGAGATAAAAAGTCCATGTTAGTACTGCTGCTGATGTTTCATGACCAGCAATTAGGAGAGTCATCAAGTCATCACGAAGTTGCTTGCTGGAAACCTGCGTGGAGGTCAAGGTTGCCTTCAATTTATTGGTCTGGAGAAAAAAAAAATCCACAGTACGCAAATTATTTCATACATCATCTCCTGATGCCAAAAGAAAATGAAGAATACTAGGATCTTGTTCGTTCATATATTCCTCGTGGAATTGCAGCTCCTCTTCATCTACCAACCTCTGCATATACATTTATATGAAAAAAATTGATTAGCAATCATTACCGAGCAACATAAAGTATAGCTACAAAAGGCATCCAGCATTCACCTTGCAGATTGCTATCAGATCATCTAGTGTACTGTTTATCAACTTGAGTGCTGCATTCACCTTTTTCAGTCTAGGGGACACGTCCTTCCATATAGGAATTTCCCAGACAGGGATTGGTGCAGTACTTCTGTTCTCTGCCTCTCTCAAAACAACATAAACAGCCTGGTCTAGAGAATAATATGAGGCTATATAACATCAAGTGAAAAGATCATGGCTAAGCAGATTGAGATGGAGCTCAACCTACCTCAACAATCCCTGTATCGTTGGTCAAGGAATCAAAATCATAATTAAAAACTGCTTTTCCAATAATATCCAGTGTTAAACGCGAAAAAAGTGATTCCATTTCCACTGCTTCCCCAGCTAATGCGGCAGTGTCTAGCTTCTTGCAAAGTCTATCTGTAGCTTGGCTAAAGAGGTTTATCATAGCTGTCACAAACTGAAAAGGAATAGGATTGTCAAGCCTGATAAGCCATCATATCAATTCAAGAATAATAAGTTAACATCAAGTTGGAGAGAATATCACTATTAAATCAATGGGGAAAGAGATAAATTGAGGTTCTGAAAAATATTTGCAGTAATTCCACCTTCAGATGTAATGAAGGAACTATAGCACGTCTCCGGACACGCCATATCTCACCATCAGCAGGGATGAGTCCCTTTCCCATCACAAAATCTAAAATTTCCGCCAAGATACCCTGATCAAGGAAATGCAAATTAACTCAATGAATTATATCTAAATAACACTCTTCAAAGCATCTCACATTCTCACCTATAGTAATGGATAATTGAAAGCAGGATATACAATAATTTCAAACTTCATACCTTAGAGTAAGCCTTAGAGTTGTCCTTTAAGATATGCTTAACAATTGAAGGATCAGAAACGATAAGAAATGCCTGCAATAACAGCAAGTTCATAAAGCAGACACTGTACACAGATACATTACATACATGTCATTCATATAATCTAACAAGGAATTCAAATTGCAAAGGAATGAAAACCAACCTTTGGCCCAAATTTCAGCCTAAATATTCCACCATAAGTGATGTATAGCTCATACAATGGCAAGAAAAAGGCCTCACTACGAATAGCTGCTATTTCACCTTTTGCCTCAGGAATCTGAGAAAACTTTTCATAATCTTCAAAAGGTTTGAATACCAAATCCAGAATAGGTGTAAGAATTCCCAACTTTGACAGATTGTTCTTCAATCTCATAGGAAAGCTGAAGACAATGGATAAAGACAAAGCAAAGCAAGTCATGAGGTTAACATCACATCCTAGAATGATTTACTTGCAGCAACACTGGCACCAGGAAGTTAAATGGAAATGGCCCCATAATCCCATTTGATGCAATTATCAAAGGTGTTCATTAAGATGAAATAAATTACATGATTGTTTTACATATATGAAGTTGGCATCAAGAAGGATTGAATTTCTTGTTCGACGGAAGCAAATCCAGAGGGTCAGAACATAAGAATTATCACCAGAGATTAACATACATAACAAGTTTATCATCAAGATTGTTTAGTAGGACTTTCCGTTTCCAGTAAACATAAATCCTATGTCTTACAGACCATAACTAAATACAAGTGAATGCATTGTCTAGCTAGAAGAAATTGAAAATTCAACAACCTTCCCACTTCCAAGTGCCAATGTCATTCCTACTCCACTACACAATGAAGTAATGAACACCAACTTTAGTGATCAGCTCAAACCGCACAAAACATTGGATAAAAACATACAATACTTGATTATAACATCACCACTTTACCCACCATAAATTTTCTTTTTCTTCTTTTGTGATTCATTCTTTGCATCATATACAACAACCTTCAATATTCTGCTTGTTTTTCACCCACAACCACAATTCATCAATATCCCAGGGCATAAATCAACCAAAAATAACCAAATGCCCACCAATTATATTAACATGAAAAAAAAAATACTACAGTAGTAACTAAAATAAAGCCCTGCATGTTTTAAATGTATGAACAATTAAACAGAAAACCAACTACAAGTATATGAGAAGTATTTAACAGTAAAAATGAGTGGGTATTAAAGAATAATTAACCTAGATTGTTTAACAGTGAATTCCCCAGAAGCAATCCGAGCAGCCAATTCAGCACGCCTTTTCTCCTCAACAAGCTCATCAATGCTCTTCACTCTATCATCAATCGGGTCGGGTCTTGACCCATTTGAGGAAGAACAAGTAATAGAGCTCCATTTACACCCACCTGCAACAATTTTGAGCAAGAATATGAAAAACCCACCAAAAAGATACAATTTTTAAGACAAAACAATGAGAATTAAGGTACATTGAACTAAAAAAATGCCAATTATGGGAACAAAGAAGAGTAAGAAAAAAAGAGTGAAATACCAGAAATTGATCTAGAAGAGTAAGAAGGAAATGGGGTAGTGAAATTGAGAGAATTTAGGGGAAGAAGTTTGAGTTGAAGATTAAGGGGATGAGATGAGAGAGAAAGGGGACGCAGAGCTGATACGTGGGTAGCCATGGAGCTCTAAAACCCAGTTTGGATTAAAGAGCTGTTTTTAAAAATTCCAGATTTTTTATTTTTATGTTTTATTTGTGGTAATTTTTTACTTTAATTTTTTGATATTTTTGTTTTCACATTTTTCCTCGTCATCTATGGGCTATGGAAGAAGAGGTGTACGTCGATACGTCGTGTCATGGTGGTACGGAATGTCGATCAATATTGCACGTGTTTTTTTTTTCCCCTTAAACTTCACATATACTCCTTCCGGTCATTTTTATATCAGGAGAAAATCAACAAAATCATAATACATAAGTGGTAAATGTATGAGATGTTATGAATCTTATGTTCGTTTTTGTTTAAATTAATTATTTATAATATGATCTAAACTTAAAAAGATAAAATAAGAATTTAAGCAAATAAAAAGAAAAAGGGAATATTGAGAGGTTTGAGGAATTTGGAGTAGCCTCATATAGATTAGCTACAGCCCTTGGTGAGCGAAAAGAGTTATTGATAAAGACTTGTTTAGGTTAGAAGGGATGCCTCAAATTGTTAGCTTAATGAGTAATGATCAAGGAAGGATAATCAGGTAACTAAGGTTCGTTTGGCATCGCTGCGGTTTTCTGTTTTTTGTTTTCGAAAATCATATAATATATGTAATATAATGAATTAAAAAGTTAGTCAAATTTATGTTTCGTGTTTTGGTTTTTTGTTTTCAAAAAATCTAAAAATTGAAAACAAAAAACGATGTCAAACAAGCCCTTATAACTGGTTTTAAAGATCACATATAACTTTTTGTTCAAGGTTAAGAGATAAATCTTTTGTAAGGCTTCAAAAAAGACACTTAGAGGATGCAATTTATCTTTAGGGCTTACAGTAGATAAATTCTCATTTTAACATTACAAGCCCCTCTCACATGTGACAATTAATTAATATTTAATTGTCTAGCTGTGAAGTCATAAAAGAAATATAATAATAAGCAAACTCTGGCTAACTGTGCAAATTATAAAATCATAAGTTAGCTAATTCAAAGAAGATTTGAGAAATACTTAATAAGTTATGTGAAGTTTCAAGTTTCATCCATAAACTAGAAGTATATTCCCTGTTTTTAATAAGAGAAAACTCACATAAATGTGGGTCAAATTCTTAACACATAACACAAGATAATAATTTTAAGATAAAAAGATGATCAAATTGTCTTGAAATAAACAAATTGACACTCTCAAGGGGTAATCTGGTGATATTGAGTTGAGCATCAATCATCATACATTTCCTTGCTGATTTCCTTGCTGTCCTCTGGCATTATCTGCCAATGTCAAATCAAACAATCTTATAAATATGTTTGTAGAACAGGATATTACTTTTACTCTTTCCGCCCCTAAGTAATAGACATGAACACACGATTGTCACCAAGTAACACGCCAATTTTTTTAGTAGTAACTTCAATTTAAAACTTCATATAATACTCTTAAATGATGCCTTTAACTAAAATTTCTACAAAGAAATAACATCAAGAAAGTGGAGATCGATGTAAATAATAATAAGTAATGTATTTGCAAAATATAACCAATAGTTATTATGGCCAATACTTGTGAGATGGAGTAAACAGATGAACTGTACATTAGGAAAAGTTGAGATGTTTACCATATCTTATTACTTCTTGAAGATTCCGGATATGGGGGTCAATGGCCAAGCCCATATGTGCATATTCAGGACCATAAAGTGCATTTCCTATAGGCCTAACGACAAGAAAATACATACATAATGTTTAAATTCATATATATTTTTTCAGCAAGTTTCAGTTTTGTTTGTGTAAGCTATGAGTATAAGTGGCAAACCTAGGATCACGAATAAGAATAGCAGCTGGAGAATCAGTATTGTTTGGTGCTGTATTCCCATTCTGGTAACTTGCCCGTCTCATATCAAAATCATCTTCCCAAGGTGCTTTCCTCTGCAGATAATGGCAAATAACATGTTACCAACTAAAGCGAGTCCTACTTAAACACTTATATGGGTATGAACACTTGACAGTTCATTTAGGACCAATTATAAACTAACCTTATAAGCAGAAGAAGTTGATCTTTCCACCCCAAGAAATACTTGCTGAAATTGGATTTTCAGTCCTAGTTTAGTTTAATTGTTTTAAGCAAGAACTGCACAAACATTTATAATCATTAAGCATGTAGAACTAACCGGAGAACTGTTGGCAAATGGCCCTTGTAAGTCCAGAGAAAGATTTGGGCCATCGATTAGACTTCCCATCAACTGATCACGGAAAAACAAAAGGCAATTTTAAATTTTATTAGAACCAGCATTAACAGTCCACTTGTATCATGCTATATGTATAAATGCTAATGCCAAATAGATTAGTTAAAGATCATGGATCATGATATGTATACCTGGCGATTCATTTGCAGATGTGGTGGTCTTGGGATGAAGGCTGGTGATCTTGAGTCTGAGTACATGCTATCCACCCTATCAAATGAACTAAACAAGCCCTGATAGCTGGTTCGTTGACTGTCAAATAGCGTGACAAAGTAATATCAAATCAGACCATATTAAGCTCAATATATATTTTTATAATCATAATTAACCCTCCGGAGTAGTAATTATGGATTGTATAATGTACAGTGCATTTTGTCCAACGGGGGTTGGATTTTGCTGCAGAACAATTTGATTAGACCACTGTGGATTTCGCAGAAAGAGAGTTGGATTATGCTGCAGATTAATTTGATTAGACCACTGCGGAGTACTGAAAGGCGACATGTTGCTGCTGTTTCCTAGTGGCCTTTGCTGCTGTATAACCATGATCATATTGATTTGTAAGACAATCAAGCAAGATGTTTAAATTTATAAATATAATTAGATCGGAGTATTAAAGTCAGAAAGTATTTACAGATATTTGATAGTAATGAGGGACTGGCATAGGAAGCTGCACTCGGTAATCAGGCACTTGGAAGCTTGCAGGGGAAGGCTGTAGCTGTAAATTTGGGGAAATCAAGCTTGAAAATGGGTAATTATTACCATTTGCAGTTCCAACTGTGCTGATCTCATTACATTCTGAAGAATGATTGGCTCCTGTTGTATTACCATTCCTGCAACAATAGGCATGCACAAACAAAACAAAATCATCTCAAATTCACTGATGAAACCATGATTATCAAAAGATATTAATTCAGGGTCTTTCTATTTAGCATTTCAAATTTGTAAAGTCCAATCTGCAGAAAGTTATTTTGCACAAATTGAAAGGGTGTAATAAAGTAGTACATGGCCAACATGGGTATAGCTATGTATATGTAGTTAAGCACATAACTTAATTATATTAATATATATAGTGCAAGGTCAAGAAAACGTCTTACAGATAGGAATAAGTGTTAAGGAGACCATCTTGGAATAAATTGAACTGATTTTGTTGCAAGGGTGAGGAATTGTGGTTCTGATCTGGTGGTTGGGAGAATACCACTCCCTATTAGAATATGCTTATCAGTTAATGTAAGAGCTATGTGTATGTACATGATTACATGGATTTATATGTTACAAAAATAAAGCTTTAAGTACCCCAAAAGGAGATGCGGTTTCTTCAGCAACATCTGCGGCATTTAAAAGGCTGGTAAAAGATGTTCCAGCATGCTGAGGATTAGTACTAGCCACTTCTGGCAGTAGATTAGGCCTAGCCGCTTCTGGCAGTAGATTAGGACTAGCCACTTCTGACGGTAGATTAGGACTAGCCACTTCTGGCGGTAGATTAGGACTAGCCACTTCTGGCGGTAGATTAGGACTAGCCACTTCTGGCGGTAGATTAGCACTAGCCACTTCTGGCGGTAGATTAGGACTAGCCACTTCTGGCGGCAGATTTTTTGATGGACTGCTCTGCCTCATCAATGTATCTTGAATGCTGCCATACATGAACATTATGAATCTTGTTAGATCATATAAGCAATAGAGTTGATTTGTTAAGCAAGAAGATCATCAACAAATCCTACTTTTAACCAAGATATGAATTACACTCATTTAAGCAAGAAGAAGATACAATAATTCATAAATACACTATGGCAAAGCAGGGAAAAACACACCCTTCTGCAATTGGTGATTGGTGTTGGTTCTCATTAGAGTTCTCATTCACTTGGTGCTCGGGCTCGGCTTGCTGAACTATGTCCACAGGTTTTGGTAAAGAAGTTTCTGCTGCATTCTTATAAATGTACACAAATATACAGGATAGAGTACAACATAGTCAAAATAAATCCATACGAACCTTAAAAAATTATAGTTTGGTGATGAAATCGGATTTAGTAAACATATTTAAATTATTTATACCATGGCATCAGGCATTTCTTGAGATGCATCTTCATTCTCTTCAGCTGTTAGCTCTTGCTGCTTGACCACAACACAGGTTTGATCACCAAGATTGTTAGTAATAAATCACATGTATATAGCTAAACAAAGAACGAAATATATTATTTATACCTTTCTTTCTTGGACGCGGGCAAGTGTCTCCTCAAGGAGTTCTTCAGAAAGGTTTGCTTCTTCAATGGTCATTATCACTGTATGCAAGGGTTCGTATCTCCTATAAGCCAAAAATTAAATTTTAGTCCTCATTTTAGCTTGCTTATGCCGAACATGATTATATATATATAGTATCTATATATAGTATCTAGTATAAATGAAATGAGAATAAAAGTTGAAAGGGTAACCTCGTTTCAATTAAAGCACCCTGAATCTCTTTTTCCACCTGAGAAAGTTCTACCTGGATAGCCTACAAATTAGCATGTATGTGTATCATTAATACTTGTATATAATACTTCCATATGAAGTAACAATCTATAGAAAGATAAAAATGTCACTGTACTGAGTGTTAAGTCTTACCGAAATGGTACTGGATTTTTCAGATGCAGCAGCAGAAAGCCAATAAAAAACACAACAAACACAAATTCATTAGCCTTGGATAAGAGATGAAGAAAATAAAGAAAAAATTATTTTGTCAAAATGGCTGGAAAAATATTTAAACATTTGCTTATCATGCTGCAAATACATACCTGGTTATCCTAGTGCAAAAATGCATGCATGGCATTATTATAATTATTATTATTTATAATTGATGATTTGGTCAATTATTGAACTTACTATATCATAGGTTAAATGTCCATAATTAATATTGATAATTTTGATATCACACATAAAATTATTGTAGAGAATATTCGTTTCACAATAATGTACGAAAGGGGGTGTATACAAATAATACAATATGTGTGTCACTCATATACACGCGTCTTCATTGGATAGGATAAGCTATAAAGCATAAGTATTATTAATGGCAATATATCATTGCCCTTGATATATTTCCATTTAAACATCCTTTCCTCCAATAATTAATTACTCAATTTTGACATTTACTTTTCAATTCATGGAAAATACCAGCTAACAAAATTGAAATGAAATTCCGTCTATATCAATGTAATTTATGGCACTTTTTATGCCAAAAAATGTAAATAATAATGAACATAATGTTAATAATAATGAAAAAAATGCTACTTCCTCCGTATTTTTAATATTGCACCACTTGCCTTTTAAGGAAATTCACAAATATTGCACCAAATACATATTAGGAAAAGAAATATCTATGTTCACACTGCAAATACTTTATATGCCCTTACTTTTCAACATTTGATTTTTTTGTTGTTTCCGTTTACAATCACATGAGCAATTTTGAATTTTTACTCTACTCTCCAACCCTTTTTTCCACTACCAAAAAAATTTTAGCCCAACCCTTATAGTGCAATAATAAAAGTACAAAGGAAGTATAAAGATGTGAAAATAAAACATTTGCATACAATAGTCAATACATGGCATCTAACAATTACCATTTTATTTCTCTTATGATCTAACACAACACACATGAAATAGAGAACAAAGATTTAATCTAGATTAAATCAAAATTCTTTATGTTTTTGCCTTATAAGGCCCTGTTCACCTCACCTGAAAAAACTAAATATTCAGTAAAAGTAATTTTAAAAATAAGTAAGTTCAATTCAGCAAAATTAAGTTCAGTTCAGTAAAAATAAGTTCGGTTCAGTAAAAATTAGTAACTTTAAAGAAGAAATATAACAGGGAATCAGTAAAAATAATTTCATTTCAGCTAAAATAATTTTAGTTCAATAAAAATAATTTCAGTTCTGTAAAAATAATGTAAGTTTGAGCAAAAATAATTTCAATTCAGTAAAAAAAAAATTCTGTTCAACAAGAATAAGGTGAAGTGAACGAGGTCTAAAAGGTCATAAGAGCGCAAAATTAAAACCACATATATCAGATTATAACTCACAGAAGAAGAGATATATACACACATACCAGGAAAGAAAATCGAAGAAGATTAATGTAGGTAAACCATGGAGTTTCTTATGTATCTTGGATTATTTTGTGAGTAATATATTGATGAAGATAAAAGAATATTAATGTAGCTTATACCTGTCATTTTGGATGTGCTCCTTTGTTTGTTCTTTTAGCTTGTCAAGTGTTTCAAGTAAAATCCACAACTGCAATACACACACACACAAAAAAAAAAAAAAAAAAATAATAATAAAAGTTATCATATAGGATTATAATATGTAAATTATTTTTAGAAGATCAGTATACTTCATATATAAAGTAATGCTTGTACATGTTTTCCAAAAAAAAAATAAAATATAATGCTTATACATATATGTCTGCATAGCAACTATGTCTCTATAGCAACTGCTAAACTCACTGTTCCTTTCCTTTTTAAAAATAAAAAACCAATGTTATTGAAGGATTAATGTCAAAATCTAACACAACAGAAGGCATTACCTCTGGATCTGGTATCTGGCTGCAAGTATCAAAATAAGATATGGTTAATTTTTGCAACACATAAAAATTAGACCAAGTAATAAATACTTGCTACTATTTTTTTTTTTTTTGGATTTGTACCAAAACAATGATAAGGAACCCTTACAAGCCTCGGATATCTTCTGGCAATGCAGCAAAATGCCTTATAATATCTTCAACCCTGAATACATAAGGAGGTTAAGTTAAACAGTGAGTATATATTCGTTTATATGAAGTCCTTTGTATATATTTCAAACAGTAAACACTAAATTTCTTTATCTAAAGTCAAACTTCGCTAATTTTGACCAAAAAAAAATTTGTCATGTCAATATTGAATCCGTCTTAATGTTTAATCAATAAATTTCAGTGCAAATTAAAAAATAAAAACCTCAAATTAAATCAATAATTCTCCAAAAAAAAAAACCCCTCAAATTATCTATACTTTTGTCGTATCTATTGATGCTGCATAAGCATATTAAAATGAAAACGGTTAGATGTATTGCATCTTAGATTCTTAGAGACTGTTAAAAAACAACAAATGGGAAATCTGTTAGAGGGATTTTATATACTACATGGTATAAAACAAGAATTTTCCTGTCAAAAATTAAAAAAAAGGACAGAAATTAATCGTAAGCAGGCAAAGAATACCTTCTGTTGCCACCACAAAAGAAGCTGAGGCGACCAGCAGGTGAGAAGGCTATAACAACAGAATCAACATCACACATCATATGTAATTCTAAGGCTTTCTTCATAAGTCCATTTCGTCGCTTCGCGAAAGATATTTGCCTGCTAGACTCTTTCTCGATGAGCTTCAACTGTTCTATATCTTTAACCATGATTATAAAAGAGATTAGTAATTCAATATAGGGAAAATATAGGCAATTTAGACAAGGAAGTTCACTGCATTGTCTGCAATATATAGGCAAGAGAGAAGTTCTGAATTCTTTGCAAGTATCTTGGAATTACTCCTGTATCCAATTTGATTTCATTGCAATAAAGTGATGACAAATAAAAACAAATATTTTTCATGATTTTTATTTTTTTGGGTCAATCTTATTGGTTGTTAACTAAATCCAACAGATATAGATTTTGTCCATATCTTAGATGGTATAACATAAAACTTTTTGTTATAGAAGCAGAAAGGATTCTGTTTTGACCAGATTTGTCTAGTTTTGCAATGAAATTAATAGACAAGAAACTTTTTCACACCAATATAATTTTCTCTTCTTGTGAAAGAGCAATACAAAGTCGCGTAAACCTATATACAAGAAAAACCAATGATGTGTCCACAATCTAGCAACAATATATTTATTTCATGATTTTGCCAAATCAAGTTCTTCTAAAAGGATTGTAACCAAAGAGTTTCATTCACATATAATACGCCACTATGCGACGTTGGTATGCTTCAAGGCCTCTGGACCAATAGGGTTGATGTCAAGATTAATAACTTGGGCACTCCCCCCCTTTTGAGAATCTTCAACCTCCTCAAAGTAATCACTTCGAGCATTGTTAGCCAGCATGAGGCATATCAACCAAAAGAGGCATGAGTCAAGGGACACAAAGGCACCACCACCAAGGACCCCGGTCTTAGCAGTAGGACAGGCATAGTCAGGGTTGTGATGTACAGTACGGCTTAAATGGAATTGCTCAGTAATTGTTGGCCACAGGAGCAATGCAGCAGCTAACCCAGCAGTTACCCTATTTAAAAGCCAAATAAAAAAAAAATAGAAAAAAAAATTTAAAACCAATCCATGTTATCTCTAAAACTGCCATGAATCAACATTTGCCGTTCAGATGACAGACTATTGTGGCATTAAAAACACATAATCACTGTTAAAATTGTTAGCCTAATCAAAATTTCTAAAACAGCAGTGAAAATAGTACTCACTATCAGCAGGTTGAAACATAAACAATATTCGTATATTCTACACATGAGTACACAACTGAAACTCCACTAAGCACAATTATGTAAAGCTAAAACTATGTTTGGATAAAAAGATATGAAAGAAAGTGAAGGATACATTTTCCCATATTAAGATAAGACTACGGGAAAGTAAAGAGAGTAGAGCTAGAAGAAGCTTACTCTTTCCCTCCCTTAACCTTCCTATCTCTTCCGCCATTTTTCATCCCCTCCCTTTCCTTCCTCAAATATACTGACCAAATAATGTGTAAATGTGAAATGCAAATTCCAGACAGATAAAGTATAAATTAGCTCAAACAGAGGGGGGGGGGGGTGAGATTAAAAAAAAAACCTCACAATAGCTATGATCCTGCAGTGTACATAGACTGAGGAATGACTGTATACTTAGCAATAAATATATTAGATTCAGACCTTCACAGATCCCCATGAAAGTACTTGAGAATAATTTAATTAAAAAGAATTGAAGTAATGAGCCAGAAGACAGACTTGTGAGGCCAAAACATGATGAAATAGCTTCATCCTCAACTGAGGCACTTGACAGATGGATAATTATTTAATTTTAGCAACAGTCAAAGAAAATACAAAACAACGCTTGCCAAGAGCTTGTATAGGCAAGTTAGTGAGATGAAACTGCATAAAAGGAATAGGGACTATAGGGTAAGTCAAGGCAACTAATTTTGCTCTCCTCACCTCTGCCGGAAGAGGCAAAGGCTCTCATGAAAGTTACCAGTATAGAAAAAAAGAAAGAAAAAAAGAAATAAAAAATCTTGTTTGAGGCTCTCATGGAAAGCTCTCAACTTCTGAATTTGTCCATGTCAGATTAGTTTAATTGTGGCAGATTACATGTGTTAAAACCACTTGATGTAACTGTTGTGTCTTCTTGGAAAAGTAGAAAGACCTCTAGTTTTAAAGGCCCATGAAAATGGCATACTAATTTTCTCCTTCATGGAGAAAATATATTCTTCTAAATAAGACACTAAAATTGCTATCTAAGTATCTAACCATCTTGCTTAATAAATCAGCAGAGAAATTCAATAATAAACCAAATTACATTCAACAGAAACATGCTTGCTTCTGAGCTGAAACGCCAATCAACAATTCATAAAATTTAATTTCACGCAGGAGAAGGCATTATATATTGACATCAAATAAGGAATTTACTATATTCTGTACGGTAAAATTACCAAAACTCCAAAAACCATGACCCTCGTAAAGTCATAAGCACAAAAATAAAACTAGTGGTCATGATGAAACAAAGCAAGAGAGGAAAACATACCAAGCGATGTTAAAAAAGACGAACATGGTTTTGCTACGGAAGAGGGCGCCAGATGGAATAGCCCTCTTATTATATGGGTAAAATATCGACATGTGCCCAATAACAGTAGATACTATCAGTGCAGCAAATGATATATAACCGAGAACAACTGTTGGATCAGAGGGATACTTGCAGATAACCACACCCTTCCCAGGAATTGGTGTTCCTGCTGCAGGCTGCACAAAAAGCAAAAAAAAATATAGACTCGTACTAAAATTTAAAAGCACTCGATTGTAAAGTTAAACCAAAAAAACCCAGAGGGTTAACAGCAAATGATTCAAAACAAAATAAAATCAGCTAACTGCAATGTCAGTGATGAGTAATACTCCGTAAAAAACCGACATACCTTCTTGTTTTCAGCAATAACACCGCATATGAAGGAGAAGGCACCAAAAAAGGAAGTAATGAGAGCCATCTGTTTCATGGTAAACGCCATCTTTGCAACCAAAGATACCCCTCACCTTAACCTGCGGAAGAACATTTTTAAAAGGTGATTCTAGATCACCGCAATTCAATCATCGAAGCGCAAGCTATTCAGTCATCGAATCGCTAGCTAAATTGAATGTCTAAACTCCAGTAGGTAACCGCAATTCAATCATCGAATCGCGAGCTATTCAGTCAAATCAAATCAATTATAGACCATAATTGAAATCAGTAACGGAGGTGATCTATAGGTAATTCAAAGAATCGCAACGAAATAAAAGCTAATCCCAAAACTACAAAAATTTTAACACAAAATTAGAAATGAGTACATTTATCAGCAAATGGTCAACCGATTTCTATTTAGCCCTAAAATTATATCATAATTTCAAAACAAAACATAGGAAATTCAAAAAATTCCGACACTCATCAATTCATCTACAATAAATGCAAAATTCCAATCAAATTGTCGATTACATTTCTAAATTGGAACACGATAGTAAGAAACCCTAACAAGAGACATTAATCAATATATAAATCAAACACAAAATTGAATAATTCACCAGAAATATTACAATCAAACGACAATTTAAGCAAGAAAAATTGAATCGAAACGAATGAAATTCACAATCACATTACCTGTACTGAAGATGAAACTAGGATTACGATGAATTTTGGGATCAAATTTTGCGATAAGGTGATATAAATAGAGGAGAGAGAGAGATGGAAACAGCGCCAATATCGTAACTGTAAGTGGGTCCATTTCTTTGAATATACGAAGTATATTAACTAATTCAAGTAATAATCATATGCTTATTTTGTTTCTATATACGGAATATTATCCTATTATATGATCAAGATTTTCTTATTACAATCCACCCGTTGACTATTTTTATACTTCCAAATCATCTTTTTAATAAGAAAATACTAAGTGGAAAAAATAAAGAAATTAACCATAAATTTAAAATGCATAAGGTGGATAAAGCTGGCACAATTACAAGATTCACAACCCTAGTTAATGTTGTTAAGAGAGTAATCCAAGTTCATGGAATCATGGTTTTGCGTAATTTAGTGGAACACGTAATTCCTTTCCTTGTAAAATGTGAACCGCTTTTCTTTTAAATAATACACAAGGATCACTAATTAGAGTAATTACCATTTCGATAAATGATAATAGCTTACTGGTCAAATGAACAAATTAAACTCATCACTTATTGTGGAAAACTTGAAATACACTCGAGAATTAGAGCACATGCATGCTAGCTAAATTATAGGGTTGGATCATTATATTAGCTTGTTACCAATTGGTAACTCTCATACTAATTCTAGACCTTTAACAAGAGTTGTTACTTGAATTGTGTTTTAAAAGTAGTGCAACTTACAACTATTATTTGCAAAGAAGGGTGATCTCATATAGTTGCACCAGTGCAATCTGGCCTTGATGACAACCCCTAGAGTTTCCTTTGGCCTTTGTTGCCCCATCTAAGTTCAAACTCGCAAAACCTTTACCTTCGAATTTAATTCTCATGGCTCTTGTGAAAGCCAAGCAATCAATTCATCATAGACGACTACACTCCTTTGAGTCTTCTCAAACTGTCTCAAAGGAAAGCCCCTACATGAATCATATATTATGAGAGAATTTATTGGAAACCATGTACTTTGAAAGTTTGAATATGAGTAGTAAAATTCAGATACCACCCCCTTGCTAATTATTTATCATTTATTGCTAGCTAAATTAATTATTTTTTGTATTTATGGAGAATCATGATTACATTAAGACACAGATGATTGAATATGATAATGAGTTTTCTATATTTTTTTCTTACTATTCTTGTATGTGCAGAGAATCAAATTTAGATGGATAGAATAGAATAAATACTTTGTACTTTGTTGAAACCTTGGGTCTTCATAATTTTAAGGTTGGGTTTTCTATATTTTTTTCTTACTATTCTTGTATGTGCACGTCTCATGTCTCAAATTATATAGGTGGCCTAATCGATTGGCTAGGATTGAAATAATTCGTTGAATCCTTATGTCTTCATAATTTCAAGTTTGGGTTTATTTAAAATGTTAATTCAATTCGGATTAAATCAACCTATTGTATATTATATGTAAAATTACTTGATTACATTACTACTACTTCTAATTGAATCAACTAACAATTAAAAATGTTAAGCTTAGCATGCATGAACAAATTTAATTAACAATTTGTGATGAGAAAAAGTTTACATATATAAGAATATAACTACACATCTACAGTACACATACTACGTTATCAATGCATGGCTCCATCCTTCATTAAACTATAACATTTATACTTAGTAAACTCTTGATTGTATGGTAATCTACAGAGTAGCTCTAATCTCCTCGGACTCCGACCTACAATCCACCCCAACCGCGCTATCCGGTCATCTATATAAGGGCGGTTTGGGCGGCTGTTTGGACCGTGTCATAACACAAACACATACATACATGAATGTACCAAGATCATTTTAAACATGTACATTATCGATATATATTAATGCACATGAAATGAAAATTAAAAAAAAAAAAAAGATGAAATCGAAATTTTAATTGATTATATAACAACTATATAAGTCAATCTCAAAATGAAATGACACATTATTACATACTACTTACTTACAAAATTACACACTATTAATTAACTCGCATCAAAACAACAATGCAACAACATTTACCACGTTGAATTACAATATACAACATTTACAAAAATTACAATCGATTTATACTCATCAAATCCATGAGAATCTTGATATGTATCACACTATACAAACTTACGATTTTACGAAAGAATTGAATTGACGCGGTCTAACGTTAGTCGTATATGTATCTCTTAGCTACTTGATTTTTGGGTTTTCTATCACGTTGGCGTTGGTGCACATTTCTCTCCATTGGATGATCCGGTGATCGTTCTCGTACGGTCCGTGTCGGGTTACTTCGTCGTCTTCTTGCCGTTCCCCATTGCCAAATTTTGGGTTCGCAATCATCGCCTTCTTCTTGGTCTTCTTTCTTTTCATCTTCTTGCACAGCTTGTTGTTGTTGTTGTTGTTGGAGATAGCGTTTACGGCGTTTCTTGATTGGGAGATGACGGAGCTCAGGATGATCGATAACTACTTCATCATCTTCATTCTTAGAAGAAGAAGAAGAAGAAGAAGATGAAGTAGCATGATACTCTATCACTCTTGTTTGTTTCTCCATGGTAGTAGACTTTAACAAACACTAACTAACTAAGAAATAGGATATGAAGAATTACTGTAAAAAAGAATCAAAATGAAATGATGAATTTTTTGTCAAAGAAAGAAAGAAAGAAATGATGAATTTTCTAAGTAAGTAATCAATCTCTAGGAAAGATTGATTTATGTTGTTTGTAGTAAAAATGTGAGTTTAGGGTACGTATGTTTTTTTCAAACATTTGATTGTTGACAACGATTGGTCAAATATATATAGGTATTTGTAAATAAGAAATGGGTTAAATTAAATAACATGTACCAATGGAATTGAAGTATATCCAAATTATTAAAATGTCGGTGGAACCTAATTCCCTAATTGTTCATTGATCAATTATAAAGATATAGATCGAGGTTGTTGATTTTTTTTCTTTTTCTTTTTCTGAGTTTGAGTTAGTTTATTATACATTTAAATTAGGTTTAGGTCAAATTAAATGGATAATCCGATTTTCATCATGCTGATTCAATAGTTCTTTAGTGGCTCAAACTGGTTTAAGATTTTGGATCGTTAAATGTGACAACTATCAAGTCATATTCGTTTTGGATTAGATGGTTATTGACTTCTGGAGTAAGAGTCAGGTGAGTCTTGGATCTCTTCTGATTTTGTAATTGATTTTTAATTTGGTCATTTCGAATTAAATGAGGACATTATCGGGTAATACTTTTATAATTTGAAAATATTTATAAACATTACAATAATGTTGAAATTTATTGTGGAATATTATTTAGGGAAATAAATGATAAATTAAAATTAAAAATGAAGAATTGTTGATATCGAATTGAACGATAATATAAAATGTCCAATCATAATATTAATAAAAAAAAAAAGGAAACAAACAATAAAGTATAGAAGTTGCACTATTACATATAGCTGAAAATGCCTGTAGTCATGAGTAATTTTGGCTTTTTGCTCATTTAAAAATCTTAAAATGAGAAGAAAAAAAAATATATCAAATGAGCAAAAAGGCACCATTAGATACACTTACCTCTATGTGTACCCGAATATATATAGAAGATAATATTGATTATTTCATTCATACATTATATACTACGGTATTACCTCAATATATAATTTATATATTGCGTCAAATATCAATCATACATTAAATTTCTGGCGACACTTAAGTCTTAAACGTCAGGCTAATAGTTTAAGACTATGCTAATAAGAGTTTTAACCACATACACTATGTACTAGCTTAGCAAGTAAGCTAGCCATAGAAGATAACCTAAGGAAACAAAACAAATTATGCAAGTAATATTATTGGAATATATCATATCTTATATTTGGGAAGATATTATTTGGGAAAGATTATCTTTTGTATTATAGTTAATTTCTTAAGATTCTAGGATATCTTATGTTCTAGGTTAGGAAGATTGTAACTATATTATATATTGTGTGCCAAGATCAATGGAAAACTCAAGCAATTCTATTCCAATTATTTTCTCTTCTCTCTAATTTGGCATGGTATTAGAGCAGGTTAATTTTTTTTCCCTGATCTTTCTTCACTATGGCCGGCGATGATACACCACCGCCGCCGCCACCACCTAAAATCGAGCCCAACTCTCCGTACTACCTTGGTCCTCAAGACAGACCAGGGGACTTCATTACTCCTACACGCCTTAAAGGCGACAACTACGAGGAATGGGCTGCTGACATACAAACCGCCCTTGAGGCATGACGGAAGTTCGATTTCTTGGACGGCACTATCACAACTCCCTTACCTCCTTGCACTAAGTCCGATTGGACAACAATAAATGCTATGTTGATCTCATGGATCACAAATACGATTGATGCTGAGGTTAAAGCCTCACTTTCTAAGTTTCGAGAGGTGAAACCCTTTTGGGATCATCTCAAGCAAAGGTTATTGTTGAATTGACTACCTTATATTTTGATGATTGACTTACGTAAAACAAACTCTGACTAATGATGTTTATAAGTCTTGGTTGAACAGAAAGATTCAGGTATACGAATATATGTTCCGGAGTAGGAACAACAGAGTTTGGAAGAATTGATGATGCATGCAAGCTTTCAAGATGTCCTCACAACTCTAGTATACTTAGTTATTCAGTGCATGAACTTAAGAAACAAAAGTGTTGGAAGGAACTCATGAGAAACTCAAAGTTCCTGATGGAATCTGGAATTCTTGAAGGAACTTGACTGATGCTCAGAAAAGTGTTTAAACGATGGTTTTCAAAAACAGTTTTCATATCCCTTAATTTAAGGAAGAGATAAAATCAGTTTGAAAATATTGGGATAAAATCAGTTGAAAAGATTTATTTTATAAATAAATAAAATCTAAATAATTCTTTAATTTAAAAGATAAATTTATTTTAAATTAATTAATTGTTTAAATATCTTTTTAATAAATAAATATTTATCTTTTTAATAAATGTTCTTGTAAACTGATTTTTGACTTGGTAAAATTCTGTTTGCTTAAAAACAGGATGCACGTTGGATTTGGGAGTCAAGTTAGTGAAATCATGGTTCTCAACTTCCTCCACTTACATCCCAACTTCCCAGTATAGGTGA